GTTTAGGTTCTTTGCTTTTACTGAAGAAAATTTAGCTGGCCACATAAAATGACAGGTTATAGCCAAGCAAGGTTATTTATTTATTATAATATGTGACCCTGGACTACAAAACCAGTCATAAGTAGTACTAGTATATTTGTAGCAATAGCCAACAATACATAGTATGGGTCAAAATTATCGATTTTTCGTTTATGCCAAAAATCATTAGGATATTAAGTAAAGATCATGTTCCATGAAGATATTTTGTAAATATATGAAAACTTAATTTTTGATTAGTAATATGCATTGCTAAGAACTTAATTTGGACAACTTTAAAGGCGATTTTCTCAATATTTAGATTTATTTTGCACCCTCAGATTCCAGATTTTCAAATAGTTGTATCTCTGCCATTTATTCAGCTTTCAGGTGATTTATAAATCTCAATTTCAGAAAATTGACCCTTTATGACTGGTTTTGTGGTCCAGGGTCACATATCATTTAGTTTAATTTAATAATAGATTTTTTTGTTTACAAGATTTATAAGATATTTCATATTTTATTTTTTTTACTTTTAATTAACTAACTTTCAATACAGACTTTTACTAAAAGTGTTTATTTATTTAAAATTGTACAGCACTTTGCATCAGCTTCTGTTAAATTGTGTTTAATTTACACATTATTAAACTGCCCCAAACTTAAAGCCGTATTGAATATTGCAATGCTTAGAATGTTCAAAACTCATCCTAACAGTTTTTGTGCACTAATAATTTAGCCAGCTTACGTCCTAGCAGATGCCTCTGCCAAATGGTAGTATCAGCAATCGATCAAACAAACTCAGCGCCCACCTTCTTTACAGTAAACCAGTTAGAACCACTGGGCGAACGTTACATTGCCTCATTAATATTCATGAGCCAGGCTGATAAGGTTTATAATGTGCTTCTCAGATCGTTCCTACGCCCTTGGCTAAAGCGAAACCTCCATTCTTCCATCTCAGGCTTCTGTCAAAGAAAAGGAACTGCAATGCAGCACTTAAGAACGTGTTTGTGGTGCCGTTTCAGTCGGCGTCTCTTGATAAGCGCTCAAAGTTATTCGATAGTTTTGAGGTGGATGAAAAGAAACCGGGGACATGAGAGTGTCAGCCTTGACTTAAGTGGCTGGATAATTAAAATACTTCAAAGTTAATACTGCGCAAGCAAAGCAGAGAGAGAAAATGATTTCTGTTATATAATGCAATTCTAGTGCTTTCAGATACTCTAGAAATGCCACAGCCAGCCAACAGAGGGAAAGAGAGAAAGGAGCTGAGAGTATATAAAAACATCCATGCATAATGTATCCCTAATGTATTCTAATGCAGAACATGATAGACGCTTGCTTCTGCTTGAATTAACTTATGCATTAGGAGGCTCGAGAAGGTCACTAATATCTGCTTTTATGTCACCCAACCACTGCACACAAAACGTCCCCCCCATGCACAGCTGCTTCAGGACAGACGGAACAATTATACGATTTTCTGCTGTGCTAGGCCCCTTTCGTGCGATAAAAGTGGGAGTGGGTTGACTCGCTCTGAGGTAAGCATGTCATTAATGGTTGTTATAGGGCAGTGGTTAAACATACCACGGGGAAGGTACCATGGAGAGGGAGTGAGGGACACATTTCCTCCATATTAACACTGAACTCAGAGTCTCTCTTCCAGCTTGCAGATTCGAGTCAATATGAGGGCTGTCACTACGCTCGATTCTCAATTACCCGGCTGGTTCTCAGCGGAGAGAGGGGACGGCAGCCGGTCCTGCATTGCTGGAACGCGAGGCTGCTGTTTATGATGAAAGTTTGAACTTTGCCTTAAATGATGTCAAATTTGAAAAAGTTTAGACAAAATGATCAGTTATCAGCCATAACTTCAATATAATTATCAATATCGGGCAGAATGTCAGTTTACCTTCATACACTACTTATAGATGACCTGTAATTTAATAGACTTGGACTAAAAGCCTCAAAAGTCCCATTTGGATTTCACAGGGTTTTTAAGAACTTATTTATTTTCTAGTTTCTCTACAAATACTATTATTTGACTTTATGGTTAACAAGTGGCCACCACGGCTTGTAAAAACTAACAAACGTCTTTTACCTCAGGGCCAAATTTGAGTGCTTTTACAAGTAAACACAAGTGACTAACAGATTGACTTGTCAATGGAAATGTGCTTCTGAGACCCCAAAACAGCGTACATGTGTTTGTATAGTGTAACTAGATTCAGAAGTCAGAGGGTGTGCTGGATATGGAAATTGATATACAAGAAGAATAACATGAAAACACTTAATGTGGGAAAAGTAACTCCAGAGAAACAGTCACAACTTTTATTTCCCAGATCAGGTTAAAAGGAGCGAGGCTATTACTCCGAGAGACAGTCAAGCACCTCATGCCCACTACTACAGAAGAAGCAGTCAGTTTGAAAGGGCCAAAATATCCAATTACTCCAATACAACTGGTTCTGTGCCGTACAAGTGTGCTCTTTAAATTGATATGTCCTGCCTACATCGCTCCACTCCTCATGGGTAATTGACACTCTCTGCATACAATGAATGTGGACAGAGGAAAAACAAACACAGATTCTGAGATGCTCGGACTGCTTTGACTACAGCTGAAAGTAGGAAATCACTCCTGCTCAAAAAAGCCTGCTTCTTCATCTGCACAGTTTCCAACCGAGGGAGTTTTAAAACACTTTGAGTATGTAACATCCCTAAATGCATCATTACGATCGCTGTGGTTTGGATTGAAAAGCCTCGTAAGGAGAACGAGGATTTTGGCTGCTGTTACAAATGAGCATGTAGGCCGGCACAGTGTGGTGTGCGTTCATGTCTGAGTCGGTCTGGCCGACCTTCAGATCTGGATGGGAAATTAGATTGTTTTAGTTGGATTACGCTAGATATGTCAAAACACAATCTGACTGTTGCGGTTTTGGATCTGTGCTGCCATCCGTGGTCCTGTAATGAGGTTTTGATCCTGAATCGCTCATTACCACAAGGTTGGCGCAAAACAAATTCCCGGGTCAAATGAGGTTGTGACCTTGAAACTTTGCCCTCGACGCATCACCGCTTCTCTCACTCTCTCCTGAGTTAAATTCCTCCCAAAGCCTAATTCTCTTTTTTTTCTTCCCTTCTACTTGAGGAAAGTCTTTTCTTACTTTAACAGACGTCCGTTGAGAATGGACACTCATTAATGGCGTATGCATGAACGCTACATTTCCATGCACTTCTTCCAGAACATCCTTATCCGAAGGTTACCTTCGAACGGATCTTATTTCTGAAGTTATTAAAAACAACGAATTTAATTTGGGTTACCCACAAGCTCCTCGTTTTAAATTCACACAGCATTTGGAAATAGTATACCGAGTTGACGTACAAAGTGTGCAATAACTTTGTAAATTAAAGACAATTATGGCACACTGGAGAAGAAACTGTATAGGAGGCTCACGTGGATTGGGAAGTGGTGCTAAAGGGAGGGAATAAATGAGACGCTGGGAAAGTCAGCGGTGGGGTTAAGGTACATTTCTCTAAAATTTGCTTCCGCATGTGTCGGCAGAATTAATTTGACTTAATTGACATTCATAAGCCAGACGTTGTCTTCTGCTGTTTGCTCAGTAATTGAAATTTCCATTATGAGGTGTAAACATTTAGCAGCCACCAAGTGAATATTCATCAGCAGGAGCAGTAGTGACACAAGATTCTGTCTGTGTGCATTTGTGCCAGCCAGGTACTGAATTTGCATTAAAGCAAGGGAATAGGTTTTTTATGCGTATATGAATATGTTAAGGTGCTGTTCGCTCAGTATGAGGTTGATTTGTTTTAGGTTATTTTATCCAAACACCATCTAATACTATAAGTGATATTGTTTCCTGTTATTTATATGTTTTTGTTAACAAGTGTTTAACTCATTATCTTAAATATAGGTAATTACTTGGCTTCCTGCAATTTAACATTTTTAAAGTTTACATTAATGTAGTTTTATATTGTAAGTATTAAATGTGAATCAATAAAAATATAAAATAATAAAGAGATAGTTCACTCGAAAATGGCAATTTTGTCATTATTTACTCACCCTCATGTCATTCCAAACCTGTATGAGTTTCTTTCATATGTTGAATACAAAAGAAGATCTTTGAAGAATGCTGGTAATCAAACAGTTGATGGCCCACATTGACTTTCATAGTATTTATTTCCCTACTATGTAAGTCAACAACTGTTTGGTTCTTCAAATTCTTTAAAATATCTTCTTTTGTGTTCAGCATAAAAAAAAGAAAATAAACTTATACAGGTTTGTAATAACTTGAGGGTGAGTAAATGATGAACATTTTTGGCAATATATGGCAAGCATACTTTAGGTACACATAAAATATCTTGCATTTAGTGTGAAAGTGAAAGTGACATGACATGTGGCCAAGTATGGTTGGTGACCCATACTTGGAATTAGTGCTGTGCATTTAACCCATCCAAAGTGCACACACACCGTGAACACACACCCGGAGCAGTGGGCAGCCATTTTTTTGCTGCGGCACCCAGGGAGCAGTTGGGGGTTCGGTGCCTTGCTCAAGGGCACCTCAGTCGTGGTGTTGAAGGTGGAAGAGAGTGCTGTATATTAACTCCCTCCACCTACAATCCCTGCCGGTACAAGACTCGAACCCACAACCTTTGGGTTACGAGTCCGACTCTCTTACCATTAGACCACGACTTCCCATGATTTAAGAAGTAGTACTCCAAATAAAGTTTAATTAACATTTTTATATCAGTAAGTCTTGAGCGATATGTCAGTAAATATTTTAATAGATTTGAGCTATATTTGAGCTGTGTGCATTTGTGCCAGCCAGGTATATATTTTAGTATGAAATAAATGTATTTTAAATATATTACTTTTTTACTATGGATGTCAATTTTGTCATTTTAGATACTATTTTGTTTTTAATTGTACCAGTTGAACATGTGTAGAGAATTACTAAAAGTCAGTATATTTCCTGTTTTCTTTCTTTCAGCCCCATCTCAAGTGAGTGAGGTGATAAAGGAGCGAGTTCAGCAGCACAGCGTTCAGCTCTCCTGGCAGGAACCAGAGCAGCCCAATGGCGTCATCACCGAATACGAGATCAAGTACTATGAGAAAGTGAGTACACACCACCTGCTCCAGAGCATAAGCTATTAATGAATATATGTCTGTGTGTTTCACAAAATGAAAGACAGAGAGAGACAACGACTGTGAGTCTACCTGTCTATCAGCATCCCAATTCCCATGCAACCCGTCCTATCCTGTATTTTTATATTTTATTAGTTTTTTCTTGATTTGCATTCTCTGTGCACGAAGCTCACAGTCAAATGCTCCGGTCTGAGTGTATCCATCCCCTCTAATTGCTATAATGAATGAGACACTCACAAGATTTTAATTAGACTGAGGTCCTTCACCAATCCCACACAAACATACACAGGACCGTCTCAGTTTACCACAGCCACACTCGTACACGTCTAAGACCACTTCAGAAACACACACACACCAAAGCAGCACACGTACATCTGGTATTGTAACTGCGCATCTGTTCAATGAAAAACAACCCAAAAACAATCCCTTGCAGGCACGCACACGCTGCCACTAAAACATTAATCAGAATTGTACTCCCAAAAAACATGAACACATACACACTTAATTTCTTTCACCTCGGCTCACTCTCCTGCTCAGTCTTACCCCCCATCCATTATAAAGCACAGCTTCGTAGTGTCTACCTTCAAACTCATATGTCAGCTAGTCAGGTCCAGCGCATTCGCTCGGCCTGTTGGGTTCCGGTCTCTTAGGCAATGTGAAAGCAGAAGCAGTCTCCCGACCAGCGCTCTCTAGCTGTAGTTCGTCCTGTTTGAAAATTAGAAGCAAGCTTGACTTCACTCCTAACAGCCTGTGGCATTCCATTTAAGAGGGTTTTTTCTTTCTTCTCTTCTGAAGTCCATGAGAGATAATTTTCAGATCAGTGGGAAAATGCTGTGGTGCAGCATTGGTGCACTTGATGTGTTCACACAGGGGATGCAGGTTTGAATCAGTTGCATGTACAGTATGGAAGGCCCGTTTCCATCCAGGTTTTTTTTCCTTCTCTACTTCTCTCTGTAAATATATTGTGTTCACCAAGTCTGCATTTATTTGATTAAAAATACAATAAAAACTATTATGAAATATGATATGGTAATATATTTTAAAATTCAGTTTATTCTGTGACGGTAAAGCTGAATTTTCAGCAGCTATTACTCCAGTCTTCAGTGTCACATGATCCTTCAGAAATCATTCTGATATACTGATTTGGTCCTCAAGAAACATTTTTTTTTATTATTATTATCAATGTTGAAAACAGTTTTTGAGGAAACTGATTTTTTTTTTTATAGAAAGTTCAAAAGATTAGTATTTATTTGAAACAGAAATCTTGAAACAGAAAGTGTCTTTACTGTTACTTTTGATCAGATGTAATTTTTCATTGTTTTATAAAAGTATTCATTTATTTAAAAAAAAAAGTCTTACTGACCCCAAACTTTTGACAGTAGTGACTTTCTTCTTGAGTTTATATCTCAAAATTGATACTGTACTTCATGTATTTTTTTTCTCTCAGAATTGTAACAGTAATCACAATATCTCAATGTGATATCTCAATCTCAATCTTGTAATTGTCTCTTTATCTCATTTGTATAATTAATTAATTATTAAATTAATTGCAAAATCATTTTTCAATAACTGCCAATTTGCATCTAACAATTGCTTGTTTCTCTGAATTTATACCTTACAATTTATTTCTCACTCTTAACATTATCTGAAAATTACCTTATTCATTTTGTTATTGTAGTTATTTATTTATTTTTTACTTTAAGGATGAAATGGACAAAGATGGATAGTATGTTTGCTTTAAGTGTTAGCATATAACTAAATTAATTATCTTAATACATTTCAAACATTTAAATTAGAGAATTGATTTTTTATTCTTAACATTATCTGAAAATAACTAAATGTATTATAAATGAATTAGTTTCAAACATTTAAAAAAGCTGTGGTAGTAAACCAGTACAAACGACTTCCTTTTTTTTTCGTGCAAGTGGGTGTGGGCAATATTACCAAAAAAAGCATGGTGAAAAACATTATACTAAAAAAAGGACAGACATCTTCAGACATCTTTTGCATACCATTGTGACACACTAATCTTAATCTCGCCTACTATATAGGACGGATAGCATGCAAATTGGGATCAGCCGTATACTCTGTGTGGGTGTGCATGTGTTTGTGTTTCCTCAAGCTCTCTTTGACATTCCAATTGTAAATGAAGCACCAGCTCCTCGCAAACAGCTTGCTTCTGGTTACCTAGGTTACGGATGAAATACTGTGATATTGCCTCTGCTTGAACTCTTTGCGTGTGAAAAAGACCAAATGCTCCAGTATTCGCTGCCAAACACTTCAGCGTAACCACCCCTCTCTGTAAAGAATTTGTACAATTTGTGCTTTTGATACCCTGTGACAAGATTGTTATTTTGTTTTCTTCTTTTGAACCTAAAGGACCAGAAGGATCGCATTTACTCCACCGTGAAGTCAAAGTCTACTTCAGCCACAGTCAATAATCTGAAGCCAAGCACAGCGTACATCTTTCAGATCCGAGCATTCACCGCCGCGGGATATGGCACTTTCGGTCCCAGAGTAGAGGTCACCACCAAGGAAGAATCCACTGGATCTGGTGAGCAAAACAGTATGTGAAACGGCTATTTAAAGCCATTTTTTGTCAGTTGGTTCGCTAGTTTAGCTCTAAATTATGTGGTCTATCTAAATAAATGGTTTTGTATTAGGATCTATCCGATTACACTTAAAGGCAAGGTCCAGTTTCTTCCTGATAAAATCTCTGACCCAGACATTGTTTCTAAGACATTGTGTATTTTCGATAAGATGTTCAGTTTCAGTTCCCTCTGCAGTTTGTCAATGAGCGCAGTATTTTCGATTCGGAGAAACAAACCTAACGAGAAACAGTCCAACCTGAATGTGTCATTGTTTCAAATGCAGGCCACTGTATTACCATCTGGGACTATTAAGCCCACTTTCAGAAACAGTAGAACCGTGCACTCAGCGAGACCCTAAAATAGAGCCAGCCCCTCCCCGCAGTAGAGAGAGGACGAAAAGGGGGTTACAACCGTCCCATGCTTTTTCAATGGAGCTTTGCTTTAAGCTATTCTGCTGCTCCTTTTGCCAAATAGTTTATTAGGGATCCACCAATATTACAATTCTGAATGATTCCAGTAGAAGATCAGTAGGTCATTATTATTGTGTAAATAAATTTGAAATAAAACACTAAAAACCACAGAGTCCAACACATGACACTCTGCATTAATCTGATCAAAAATAGAATAAAAACAGTTTAAAAGAACAATGTTCTGTTAATATGTCATTTTAAAATGTGATTGTTTTCCTGTCATGGTAAAGCTGAATTGCGTGCAATCACTCCAACCATAGTGTCACATGATTCTTCAGAAATTGCTAATTTGGTGCTCAGGAAACATCTTTTAATATAACGTAAATTGTGATATTTTTTTCTTTGAATAGAAAGTTTAAAAGAACAGCTTTTATTTGAAATAGAATATTTTGTAACAAAATAGTTAAATGACATGTGGGGAAAAGCAGAAATTGTGAAGAATTTGTTCCTATGATTAATTAATTAATCGTCACAATTTATTATTCAGTTTTTATTCAATTTGTTCCCTGGTTTTAATTAAATTGTTGCCACGATTTAACTAAATTAAAACAAATGAATGAAATGGTACAACGTGTCCACAATTTAACTAAAACAAGACTAAGTTGAGGAGAAATTCTTAATTATAAAATATTTTTCTATCTACCTGTCTTTATAAAATATATATTTTTCAATATTTTATTTAACAAGTGAATTTATGCATCCCAAAGTATTTGTATGAAAATGGATATTCATTTTGAGATTTGCTAAAAACTACATTCATTAGTATATATTTTTTTTAATTATTAGTGTTTTTAAAAATTAACTTTGAGTGTTAGATGACAGAAAAGGTAACTTAAATCTAAAAAAGGGGAAATGAGCATTAAATATTAAAACAAAATGATACATAAAAATTTTTTTTTTTGAATATTGGCTGTTAACAACATGGTACCAAATGTATTGTGAACTCCTATATTTTATAAACAAACTTACAGGACTACAATTGACATCTTGTGTTGTTTATTTGTGTTTTAATTGCAGCTACAGTCATATCGAGTGAGCAGAATCCAGTCATCATTATTGCGGTGGTGGCAGTAGCCGGTACCATCATCCTGGTCTTCATGGTGTTCGGTTTCATCATAGGGAGAAGGTACGCTCTTGCGGCCCCCATTGACTCTCCGCTACTGTGAGTTTTGTACGCTCTCTCAGTTTGCCTTTTTGTCCCTCAAAGGCCACCATAGCTGTGGAGTTCACACCCTCGCCCACTTGCGTGTGATCACACCCACCCACCCACCATCATGTCGTAGACTGTGGGAATGTGATCTCTGTTGCATTTTCCCCTTCACAAGCTCATGCTGCTAGCATACACCCAGAATGGGATTCACAACTGCAAATCCTCCCTTCCCAGTCTCACCTTTTTTACCTGTTTGTCATGGTTGAGCCAAGAACACCAGTGTTTTTCCATCTGTAATTTCACTCAGAATGTTTGTCATATTATTGGAGTAAACTAATTCCCATGAATCCTTCACAAACACGTATTGCTCTCCTGCATGTCCATTGACACTGAATGCTTTGAATGCTTTGGTATTCCATATCAGTTAAATTCATTATGGAGTTATTTCCAATAATCAGCTGGCAAGATCATTTCCAGAAATTCCAGATTGCAGATCATTTACTTATTCTCGATGTTTATTTTTCCTAAACCTATTCATTCTGAAAGACAACTTGCCAGCACAAACACACACACAAAAAAAATCATCTAATTGATTAATTGATCTCAAAGCTCATAGCTTGGAACAGAACGGAACAGGAATTCATGGCATTTCTATTCCGTGTCAAGAAAAACAGTCTGATTAACATTTCCGATTTCACCATTTCTTCAAGTTGAGCCCTCAATAGCCCTGTTATGTTTGAAATCATACGTCTGGTCACTGCAGGCCTTTAATTAGTTTCTTTTTGTTCCCTGTGTAGACACTGCGGCTACAGTAAGGCCGATCAGGAAGGGGACGAGGAGCTCTACTTTCAATGTGAGTGCCAGCTTTCATCAGCTCATTATACACACGCTCATCAGTGGTGCTCAGCCGCGCTCCTGGAGAACCGTCCTGCAGAGTTTAGTTCCAACTCTAATCAAACACCTGAACCAGCTAATCAAGGTCTTCGGGCTCACACTTGAAAATTACAGGCAGGTGTGTTAAAGCAGGACTGGAACTAAACTCTCCAGGAGGGGAGGAGCAGGACTGAGCCATGCTGTGCATCATTGATCATGCTCTGGTCAACCATTACAGCTGTAGCCTCTCATAAGCTCCAGTTTTGATGAAATATCTTGAACATTTGCTTTTTAGTTTAATGCTTTCAGCTAGCAATAAGAGTAGGGATGTACCGACATCGACATTCTGGTCGATAATTGTTTTCATGTTATGGTCTGTAATTATTAATCTATACCAGTGTCATTTTAATAGTTTTTATAGATTATTGTTTTTATTAATATTTTGAATTTGCTTGTATTTTTATATTTTCAATTTAAATTTTAGTTTTACTAAATTTTAGTGCTTTTTTAATTTTTAATATATATATATATATATATATATATATATATTAGGGGTGCTCCGATCAGGATTTTTGCAGCCGATACCGAGTACCGATTTCTTGTCATGGTGATTGGCCGATGCCGATTCTGATACTTCAAGCTTAATATAGACGGTTTCATCGGGTGCACGCGCCAGGCCCGAAATTAACTTCCGGTCTGTGTTTGTTTATCAGTCTGGCTATGGCGCCGGCTACAAACGCAGTTAAAGTTAAGGTGATGAGTAGACTGAAGTTGGGCTCAGGTGGTTGTGCTGTGGGATGTGTTTCCCATACATTTATTTATTTGTGGCGCTCGCCACAATATCAAAACTGACTGATTTTCCAAAAGGCTCGTTGAATAAACATGAGCACGTACTGCACGATTAAAAATCAAAACGAGGCACGGGTGTTTTTATATCACTGTATTTCTGAAGGAAGACTATCTTTAGAAAATTCTCGATGTCATTTTAATTTAATCTTGCATGTAATGTCTGATAAAGCAGTGTTTGTGAGCTCAGCGCTGCTTTGTGTACAGCCGTTACTGGGGAAACCTCTGTTTCTCCCGCTTTAATGCACCTCCTGCTGGCAGAGAATGAATTAGCATTTTCAATAAGTCTGTCTGATTTATGCAGCACATATATTTTGCTTGTTATCAAAAAGAATCTACTCTAGAGGGACTATTTATCTGTTGTTATTGATTCTATTTGGAAGTCTACTGGAAGTTAAATTAGGGCCTATTTGCTTATGTTGTTGCCGTTGAAACCGTCTATAACATAATGTAATAATGTTATATGAATAATCACAAAAATTATTCCTTATACAGTGAACATTTTAATATGCCTTTAAAATGGGGTTTATGCATAACATTAAGTATATCAGGATACTTAATATAAGACAAAAATAAATACAAACAAAAGGTTTATTTAAACATTATCCAATAGTAAACTGGAGGACAAAATAAACATTTAATTAAAAAAATAATAACCTAAAATAACTAATTGGAGTAGTTTGATGCAGCTCATTAGGTTTAATTTAACATTGTCCAATGTTAGAGAGAGGACAAAATAAATAGAAGCATTTAAACTCCAACATGGAGAAGTCTGATGTAACACATAAGGTTTAATAGGCTACTGTCCAATATAAGACTGAAGAGGAAAAAATAAATAGAAACATTTAAACTACTGAAAGAACAAAACGGAGTAGTTTGATCACGGTTATA